TTTAACTTTTACCAAAGTCATTTTTATGATAAGATACTTTAAGACTTTTACTCAAGTAATATTCCTAAAGGACACTTTAACTTTTACCAAAGTCATTTTTATGATAAGATACTTGTACTTTTACTCAAGTATCACTTTGTGGTACTTTATACAACACTGATCTTTCCTGTTAAAAACTCAGTTGACAGATAAAAGTCCTCCAGCTTTTCTACTGGGACAGGCCCAGACTGCAGGTGGGCCGGTCCAGAACTGGTCCCTTTTTGACAGAGTAATGCTTCATCCAGGTGGTTCTGTCAGCTGCTGATGAATGATGGGTTCAGACATGTCCTTTACTCTCTGAACCTCATCCAAACTCTTTAAATGATTTCTCATCATCGTGTTGGTCGTGTTAGAAAAACAATACGTAAACCACTGGATGGATTTTATTAAAACTCACAGGAATAATAGAACAAATGTCTGGAGTCAACTCTTCAAACATAAATGTGGTCTAACTCAGTCTTACAGGTATTTAGAGCTCAGGTTTGATGTGTTAATTCTAGAGGCATTCCTTCAGGAAATTCTAGGTTTTTATTGTATAAAATGTCTTTTTTCCTGCTGTACGTCTTTATTTACTGTGATTTGTTTGGTTTTAAAGCCATCATGAAGCACTTTGAGTGAGAATCATTGAATAAAAGGTGTCCTACACATTTAGTTTGTGCTTTAATCTTTATTAATCTGTCTCTTCTACTGTCTCAGTCTGCTCAGGATGACAAGGCCACCATTCACTGTGAGACGTCCCCCCCCACCACGCCTCGCTCCATGCGTCTGAACAGGGAGGCAGGGCACGCTGCCAGTCAGGAGGACATCCGAGACATTCGAGGGTTAGCCCTTCTTTTCCCTCCTCTGTCTGAAGGTTTCTTCAGCTGCTCTGCTGGATAACGTGCTACAAACCCTGTGTGTGATTGTGTAGTCTGCAGGACGGGCAGGGCAGTAACCCCAGCAGCAGTAACAGCAGCCAGGACTCTCTCAACAAAGCAGCCAAGAAGAAGAGCATCAAGTCCTCCATTGGACGCCTGTTCGGGAAGAAAGACAAGGGTCGACCCAGCCTTCCTGGCAAGGACTCCCCGAGCCAAGGTCAGTCCCTCTGCACCCAGATCTTCTCATCATGTTAAAGGCTTATGGTGCGTTCACACCGAACGCGATTTCAGCGTCAAAATCGCAGCCATCGCTGAAGTTTGAAGCTTGTGCGCTTTGAGGTCAGACGCAGGACACCTGCGCTGCACGGCGACAGCCGCCCCGCCCCTCCCTCCTCTGTCGGGCTGTTTAATGTCGGAC